CCATATTAGGTTACGTATATTACGGTGCAAATTAAGCATTTTTGTAGACAGTCCTGAAAGCAGGCGAAGCAATGAAAATTAAGACATATCTCCGCCATTCCTATTTGACCATTAAATAGGCGTTGCAAAATTGACTTAGCGTTGAGAGAGGGAATTATTTTGCACTAAATTACGCATTCTCGTTTTGATCAACTTCTGAATCCAGGATTATCTGCTAAAAGGTCGAATTGCCATTTGCCGATACGGGAGTCGACAAATCGGACTCGACCATGACAGATGACTTGTTAAAAGTTATAACGGAAACCTTATTAACACAAGTAGGTATACTCAGAGAAGTTGGAGCCTCAGGGATTAGCCACCCCTACCCATATAAGGTCTGAGGAGCTGTAGTTGCTTAAAGTAGGGTAAAAGATATTCAATTCTCAATAGGAACAAATTATCCCTACCATCTACACGGGGTGCCCGAAAAAACTGGATACGTGGAAAACTATAAAAATTTTTTTGTAATCATATTAACTCGTTTCGTTTACGTCCCCGTACATTGAAAAACTTTGAGCCTCTTCTCTCGTACCCCCTCCCCGCCCCCACCCACAAGTTTTCCAAGATAAGAACTTGTTTTAGTTTTTCCTCTCCTAGTTCTAGGCATAGAGTGGAGATCATTATGAAAATTACTTCCCCACCTACGACGACGATTCAATGCTGGGGGTGATTATAAAGCCAACTGGGGTTCCAGACTTACTAGGCCCAAAGGACTATAAAGCGCAACCACCTGAATTACCTATCCACCAGAGAACCTACAGATAGAAATAAAGTACCTACCTGACCTAGCACATTTCGGTATAGTACAAGAGGCAATGACTACGCTACTGCAAAATCGTGCTTCGAATTATCTTCTGACTACTCTCCTATTTTAATCACTTTATCAACATCCGCAAAAGGCATCTGATTATATGTAATAAAAACATAAACTGAGATGTCTTTTAAACCAGCGGTTCCCAAGTGGTGTTCCGGGGTTCCGCGAAGGATTCACGGGGGTTCCATGGGTAACAGCAGCACCAACTACAATTTTTTCACGTTTAAAGGCACACTTAATTATTTGGAATTAGATATACTAGCTAGGCTAGTTTATTTCCCTTCAAAGGCTGCCCCACTGCGAATCCTCTAGGTTTCGGAATCCCCAATCCATTGACTGGGACTGCTATATGGCGAAACCGGTCAGAGCGGTCGGATGTACCTTTGCTCGATCGAAAAGCAAGGCAGGTGGAAGAGGTGGCCGCATTAGTAAGCGTCATATAAGGACAGCATAACACGTCGATAGAACTCAGACCTGATAAGATTCGTAAGGAGGTTCGCAGCCACACTAGCTACCTGCGGACTGCAGACCTGCCTGTCTGGGAGTCACTGGAGCCATGAAAATCACGCCAACTTTGACCATGGACGCTACTCTTCTGAGACTAGAGTCTATACACTTGGCTGCGGAGGCAGAGGTCCGCATGGCTTCCATGGCTCAACGATTGAGACGAATGGAAGGATCGGGGCATGTGATCCGGGCTGTCTTACTAAGACTAAAGAATTATAAAGTTTCTCTCCCGGATAGAGAGCAGTGGCTGAATTCTGATCGCCCAATCCTCAAACCTGAGGGGCTGGTGTGGTTTACAGACGGTTCCCTAATGGAAAGGGGAACGGGCATGGGTATACGAGTGCATAGTGATCGACCGAGAGCTGACTTCAGCTTCTCCCTTGGTCACCATAGCACAATGTTTCAGGCTCTAGAGATGTTAGCCATCATGACCTGTACACAGGAAAACCCCCGTAGAAGTTAGCATATATACATATGCAGTGACAGTCAGGTGGCGCTGAGGGTCCTGTCAGCAGAGAGCTGATTGTAGGCGAACTCTAGGTATAGTGGTGGATAATGACATTTCGCGTTTTCAAGAAGCGCATAGAGCAAAGTCAGTGACGTCCATTTTAAATTTTGCAACAGTATCTGTGTTCTACTCATAATAATTTTGTCAATTAAATCTAAGGGAACTGCGGTGCTGATGGAATTGGAATGATTGCCCCCAGTAATTGGAGACGTTAATTATTGTATCGCACATTCTGTATAGGTAATTATCCAAATTGCTGGAAGCAGGCACGAATTGTATCATTGCCTAAAATTTCCAATCCTACCTCACTTAAAGACCTACGTCAAATTCGCATATACTACCAGATTTGTGTAAGACCATGGAGAAGGGGATTGCTATTCAATGTTCATCGCATTTGCAGCTTCATAAGATAATACCCATCGAACTGCAATCGGGTTTAAATCCCCGGCCACAGTTGGAATCCTGCGCTATTGAAAATTCTAGAGGATATAATTCATGCATAAGAAAGGAAACAATTAACTTGGTTAACCTTGGTTTTGCTAGACTACACCAAAGTTTTTGATACAATTAACCATGAATTATTGCCATGTTGCAGTACATGGGGCTATCCAGCGGAGCCAGGGAGTTAATGAACTGCTATCTCGCACTTCCTACGTGTGGACTATGGCGTACCACAAGGTCAATTTTGTTCAGTTCTTCCCGTCTATATTTTTGGAAGTAAGAAAGTTTGTAATATAAGCAAAGAGGGGGACTCTTTGATATAAGCATAGGTAGATAATAAAAATGAAACTGTAGGTGACAATGTAAAAATCTAGATGTGGTTATTATTGATACAGATCTGCGCTTCAAAGATCACTCACTTGCAGAACACAAAACAATTTTATATACTTAACTCTGTGGTACTGTGAAAACTAAATTATTTTGACTCTATAACGCCTGCCTTGATTCAATCCATGAAAGGAGAATACAAAAACTACTTACATCAGAAGTCATATGCTTGAGGCTTATGCTTATCTTTGGAATAAAAAAGTACAATCACATTAGTGATATGAGCTATAAGTGCATGTGGTTGGCTTAATCTGAAGCAGATGCGTTTCTTGCATCTGAGTCACCTACGTACAGTACCTGTATCAGAAAATCTCCTTTTAGAACATGACCTCAATTTACGGTTTAAAGGACACCGCCTTTTTTCAAACGATCCTTTTCAGATAGGATCATAAAACCGTACCTACAATATTGAGCTGGCTCGCGAAGGCAGTGGTGGGGTCTTTATCAGGTCCGATCCTACCCTAGGAATTGCTCCCTCACTTGTCAGGGCTAGGATTAAAAACGGGGTGATTGTCTATTCCAGTCTCAGAGGCAACAAACAGTCCACTTCTAAGCTTCCAAAACTGAAAGAAACCAAATTGGGAAGAAAACCAGTGTGCCTACACAGGGCACTGTGTGATCAACTATCACTTGCAGAACATTGGTCATGTAGGATAGCCCAAGTGCAGGCTCTGTGACGAGGTAGATGAAACTATCGCGCATGTGATCTGTCACTGTGACGCCTTGATCAGAGACAGACATGAGCTCCGGGGCAACAGTTATTTGAAACTGGGGAGAGTAAAGCAACTTAGGCTAAACAGAGGTCCTATGCTTTATTGAGAGGAACACGGGCTCTGTACCTGGTTGCGAAGGAAAAAGTCCCTTAGTATCCCAAAGTGCTCATCAGGCTCTCCTTATAGAATGGAATATTTTATATTATAAAAATTGCAGTCGACAGACTACTAAAAAATAGCAACCTCTAATAATATTCATAGAAGGTCGACTTAAAAATGAACATTTCTGAAGAGCTGGCAGACATGAGAAAAATTATGCGACTTTGATTGTAGCATAGATATATTCTTTGTGTAGGTATATCTGTGACTATATTAAGCGGTACAATGGACAAACTACCAAAAAATATAGCAGACAGATAATCTTGCCTTGAAAATTGTATTATGGTAAAAATTATGCTGTGAAAAATTTTAGAGGTAAGTTAAAAAATTGCGATGCGAGGAAAGATGCGGTCTTTGAATATAAAATTTATATTCAAAGATACGGTTCAGTGTAAAGTCACTAGATATAGAAAGTACCGCAATCATCCGCCATTTTTGGGCAAATTTGCTGCCAACTTAAAAAAATTGACAAATAAAATCTGAATAGCTGTCATTTTTTATAACCTAACTTCATAGTACTGTCATGTTTTATAAAAATATATACAGATATCTCCAAACAGGTGGAACAATCCCTAACATTAAAGTTACTAGATTCTAGTAACTTCCGCCATTTTTGGGCAAAAATCATGCGTTCTCTCTCTAACACACGAGCCCAATGGATTGCGGTACTTTCTATATTTAGTGACTTTAGTTCAGTGCAGATGGTAGCGCCCCCTATGATCCAATGAAGATATTATTCTTTGAAAGAATGTACGATCACAGACAAAAATAATGATAAAATGAAGCTTACTGCCACTTAGGCAACCAACCATACACTATCTAAATTGGCAACATTCTTCGTCACTGCCTTGAGACACACGCTACAGTAAGTAAAATTACAAAAATTATATAGTAATTACATACCTGCTGTAGCGTGTATATCAAGGCAGTGAAGAAGAAACACCGAAACAAAGACAACATGCACGATGCCGTGCGGCCACGACTCACCGTCGGAAAACTTACCTTTCAATGTTGCCATTTTATATAGTGTATGGTTGGTTGCCTAAGTAGAAGTAAGCTTCATTTATCATTATTTTTGTCGGCGATTGTACATAAAAATATATAAGTATACGTATACCTTATACCACACACAACGATTATGTCAAGGCGTTTCCAAGTTACTAATACAAATGAGGGGTGCAACTTTGTACTCAGGTATAAGTCATCTTATTTATATATACAATACTCACTCATGATCCTTCATTTGAGAACACCCTGCATAAACCCAGCACTGATTATGTCAGATCAATTTGTACATAGTCAAATAAAGGGGCAGAAACACATACTTCGTTAGGAATAAATGTCATTATTATTAGTAAAATATATTTTTCCAGCAAGTTATACAGCGTCTACAAGTTGAAGTGATGAAAGTAAACAATTAAAACAATTTTGGTACTATCAATAGAAAAATGTAATATTATAAAATACTGAAGATAACTAAGCTGCAACAATACAAAGTAAAAAATACATTAATCTTCACATAAAAGAGCTCCATAACAATTAAACATCTTTGTCAAATTCGAAAAAAACAATTATCTAGTTACTAATGTGCACTAATAAACAACAAAATGTAAGTTGGACAATATATTTGTAAAAGCCACATTGCAACGCCATTGTTCGGAAAGGAACGTCAGCATTTATTATCTGATAATCTAAGTTGTTAATTATAAAATGATATTGCTCGTAAAGTCGTAACTTATTTATGGTAAAAAATTCGAAGCTTTATATGATTTATACGAATAACTATCAGAAAAAAATTACGATGTTGCTACATCCTCCAATGAACACAGAAATGTGGTATTACTGCACACAACATGAGTTCTTATGACCATTCTTTAGCTTTAGTCGAGATTTGGGACGGTATTTCTCAAGAAAACCTAATTGCTTTGCGTTTATTGCTCCCCTCCTTTTCCTGCAACAGATACATCTCTCATTAATATAAATCATTCCCGCAATAGCAAAATGGCAACTGAAGATGAAGCGCAACAACATAGTTTTTAGAAGTGCGCTTACACTTAATCTACTTACTCTCTTATTAATTCTACGGCCTCTTCGTACTTCAGACCCAGCTCGATTAAGGCTAAAGCCACCATTACGGGCGCCCTTCCGAGGCCAGAAACACAATGAACGGCGACACAGGCATCGGGATTTTCGTGAAGCTGATTTTTGAGTAGTTTAAACCATTCATCCACCACTTCGCTAGGAGGAAACGTGCCATCATCATATACTAAATCGATTACTTCAATTCCAATGCTGTTTAAATCGTCGGTTTTGTACGAGGGTTCGCAAACTCTTACCACTGCAGAGACGTTGTGCTTCTTAAGCTCCTACAATGACGCGTTTATTAGTGGAACGCTATTACGGAAATCTAAATTTTGAATGAAATTCGCCGTCCTGAGAATATATTTCTGCAGTTCTTACACCCAAATATACAGGGTGTCAACATGATAAACTTTTAGGGGCTATGTGATATCAGCCTGTATAACAATCTATGACATTAGGTACTCAATGATTGGGTAGGTTTGTTGGCAATAGATAGCAATAAAGGATAAATTTATTACACGATGTGATGTTAGTTAAAATGATAGAAAAGTTCCACTAATTAAGAGAAAAAGAGAAACAATAACACAAAACAGAGATAACAGTTAAAAAATGTGATACCATAGTCAAAAATAATTATGGTATACAAAAACAAAAAGCAGCAGTGCACCAGTGCAGATAATCCCAATGATATTTGTGCATTCATAAACCATTTTTGTAAATTGAGTGAGTGAGTTACATAGAGATTAAATTATATGGTTATTACACAATGCCACGTTTTTCTTCTGGTTAATAGGTGGGTAAATATTTAGCCAAATTATAAATAGCGTAATGATATTGCATTTATTTTTAAAGATAAAGTACGTGAACAGTAATGCACAGATTTTTGCAAATCATGATGCTTCAGTATCATGTGTGCAAATGATTAATGCAATGATATGTTAAGCGCAGATTATAAACACAACGTAAGAACTTTATACACAGCATGTTTCAAATACAGTTAACACTAAAATATTACCATTGGAGCTTTTTGAGGTGAACTGAAGGAATATATCATTTTCGTGGAAGGCGCTATATATTTTGCATGTTTATTACTAAACCAAAAATGCGATTGGAGCAGCAAATACTCACTGGATATCTCCGTTAGATTTTATGAAAAATCTCTAACGATTAAAATTTAGAACCTATACAGAGAACAAAACAAACGGTTCACCATAAAATAAGCTAAATTATTAGCCCCTTCCATATATGCATCATATTTAACTTTCCATACATGGTGGATTATTTATCATACACAGCATTAGAATCTCGAAATCTACTTAACAATATCGTTTAAATGAGAAAAAATGGTGTCTGCATTGAATCGTGCGAAATTGACGAAAAACCAAAATGGACCTTTTTTCTCTCTTTCATTATTATGAGACACAAAAAAAACTGCAAAGGTAACAGTTTGGTATATTTTCGCGTAGAAATCATTGGGGTAGAAAACATATTTGTAACCACCACAGTTTTTGAGAAATGGCACAGTTTTAATTTTTCTAATAGGAGCAATGTTTCACCAAGATATATTTTTTAATTGTGGATATACGGGGTGTTACGAAATTCGCGCCCACGGATAATGAGGGCTTAATTCGAGGCTTAATTCTAACACAAAACTGAAAAGTTCAAAATGTCCACCATTTTCTGCTAAACATGCTTCTGCACATGTTTGGACAATTTGAATGGCATTATTTATGATTTCTGGTGTTATTGAATGTATTGCTTGGGTTTTCAATTATTAAAATGAACATAATCTGGGCTAATGAGAATCCATGTGCACCACGATCGATTTTAGTAAAGAGGTCAAATACCTGCGAGTCAACTTTGACCAGAGAATAATATGTAACTCTCACAAGGGCAAGGTTATAAAAAAGGTGAGACAGGCATCCCAGGCCTATAGGACCCATGAGCACCTGTTCCACAGATGGTTCAAAACAAAAAGACGGTAAAACAGGGATAGGGGTTAGTGGCCAAAACTGCAGAATCTCTGAATCACTGGGATAAAAGTCACAGTCTTTCAAGCGGAGATCTATGCCATAAACCGCTGTGCCCTCATAAACCTTGAAGTGGGTGAGAAGGGGGGAAAATAGATGTTCTCACAAACAGTCACTGAAGGCGTTAGTAGCCCGTACCTACGACTCCAAAGTAGTCTGGGGGTGCATCTGCAATCTAAAAAAATTGGCAACTGGTAACCGTATCACACTACGGTGAGTGCCATGGACTGCAAAGCCACATAAAAGAAGCCCTAAACCAGTGGGAGGAGTTGAATAGGATCCATCACTGACATCAGAGGATACCAAGACAATGGCAGGTCAAATTATTCAATCAAGGCCACGTTACAAAAAGGCAAGAAAGAAAGCTTTAGTCCTCAATAGGAAAGACCTAAGGTCCATTACAGGGATGTTCACAGACCATACAACGCTTAAATACCATCTACATAAGATTGGCGCAGCGGCAGAGGCCACATGCAGAACTTGTGGACAGGCAGCTATGCGGATGCGAGGCTGCTACCGGGCCAAAGACTAAATGACCTCGGCGGGGACTAGCTGAAACCGCATGAGATGGAGGAACTAAACCTCAGAGCAGTAATTAGCCTCTATCATCGGCTGAAACTACTCTAAGCACAAGAATCCTTCCTTAGAGGATTAGGCTACACTGCCTTACCCTCCCACACACACACAATACAATACAATACCTACCTAATGAGGTTAAGCCATAAAAACAACTGATCATGAAAAATCCTTGCCCCAACCTTTGTTTTTTTTTCAAAAATTGTAGCGGATCAAAGCTATCAAGCTTTTGAAAATCATCAGGAGGAAGTTTTTGGGCATTTTTACGGACCTACAAATCATGGCGTACAAATAATTTTCCTCGTAATTTTCATATCTACTAGCTACTACAATTTTTGAGAAATAACACAGAGGTTGAAAAACTTTTTTTCATGTTGACTCGTTTTCATGGATACCTTCCTGTTCGTCCGTTCGTCTGTGTACAGTGTGATCCACTTTTGATGGGGTTAAATGGGCAACTTTCTTATTAGCGCAGATAAACGAAAACCGCTTAGGTACTCATTACCTCTTTTTTCATGCTTATACCATTACCATTGCAAGAAATAAGCTGCAGTCTTTTGTTTTTTCACTTTAGAGAAAAACTGAAAAATGGCCGATTCCTTCAATCTGCTGTAACTCCTTTATTTTTGAAGCTAGTCAAAATGGTTTTAGCATTATTCAGGCACTTTTTAACATAGAAATGCGTTGTAACTCAAACTTGATTTTTTTAAATGGAAGTTACACCTTACCATGGTTTTAAAAGATTATTATTGTATTGCTAGCTTTCCCAAAATGTATAATATATCATACTTATTTTCAACAATAAGTTTTCCAAAATAAATTTTGCTTATTAATACATCTTGTCTGAAAGTAAATACCAAAAGATGGTCAACTATAATTTCCATTAAAAAAATTAATTTCGAGTAACGGTAATGGAATAAGCATGAAAAAAGAGGTCACGAGTACCAAGCGGTTTCCGTTTATCTGCGCTAATAAGAAAGTTACCCATTTAATCCCTTCGAAATTGGACCACACTGTACATGGTAACTCGCGAACGGTTTCAAATTTTGCAATTCTCTTTTCAGTAATAAGTCCACAATGGTCAAGGGGCTAACTGATTACATTTTTGTCATTTGGACTTTCTACCCGTCCGTCTGTGAACCGGATATCTTGCAAACAGTTTTGAATTTTCCAATTCTGTTTTCAGTAATAGGTAGACAATGGTCAAGGGACTAACTGATTAAATTTTGGTCATTTGGACTTTCCGTCTGTCTGTTTTGTCACTCCTTGTCTGTATTAGTTAAACAAAATTCATTTTTGCTTAAATTTGTCCACAATTCTGAAAACTGAACATGGCTACCCCTATTATCGTTGAAAGGATCGAAAAATACCCTATTTAAGGATGATATGAAATATTCCTTCCATTAAAAAAGTGTACGAAACGTTGCCTTTCCAATTTTTTTCATAATTTTTTTGTTATTTGTCGATATATAGTAGGCGATCCAGACCATCCATGAAAAACAGTAGCACGATTCAAGGCGCCCCCAAAATAGACACATTTAACCGACATTGTCATTCCTAAAGATTCTGAAAACCGAATGCTGAGCACGATAAATAAGCCACCCTGTATACCAAAACCCAAACGTAAATCGCACCACTGGATGAAATCGTTAGGAGTAAACCGTTGAAGAAATGCAGTAATAATTCTAAGCCAGTACTGCAATTACAGGGAAGTACACGAAAGGAAAAAATTATAAAGAAGTACAAGGATAAAAAAATTGAATTACCTATGGGAATGTAAGAATTATGATTTATGAAGAAGTGCAATGGGAAATAATCACCCCTATCATTATTCCTTCTCAAACCAATGCAAAAATTTGCTACAGCTTTCATTTGATAAAAAGACTCCTTTAACTCTTCCCAAACGCTACAACAAAAACGAAGTGATCCCAAGCGAGTGAAAATTGGTCCCGAAACGTCACCCAAACCCGCGCATCGACTTATCTACCATGTCTATGATGATGGGACAAGATGCATGATGTTTGAATTTAAATGAAAATGTATATTTATGCGCCGTCGTACAATGATATGGGTATTCATCAGAAGAAAGAATTGCTCGGAACATACAAAAAAAACATACTTGAAAGCTTACCTGAATGTATGTTAAAATACTCTGATCAGAAGGCCGGTCAGTTATGAGGAATTTAAATCCTTTGTACTGTATTTCTGCTGGCGCAGGTCTGATATCCTTTTGACGCATTGTTGCTAAAACGGTTTTTTTCACAAGACACTAATGAACAACGCGTTTTGAATTTTAGAATATTTTTCTGGTGTATTTTTATTACACAAGGAGATCAAAAAGCTAACTTCTTGCTCTGGATTAACAAATAATTTGAAATTATGCTCAATATCGTAAACCAAAGAATACTAGATAGCACTGAGATGTAGTGATTATTCGATAACAAATAATTTATCTAGATATATTATTCAATGTTAATTTTCTTATTCAGTCTTTCAATAACTTAATATAATAATCTTTTTATCTAAATTGCAGTTCAGTTGAATTGTATACACAAATTTTTGCTTGATATGCTTAGCAAAAGTACTGTTGATAGTAGGATTAACTAAAAAACAAGAGTTTATTATCTAATCGAAAAGCTTAAATCCGGATGCTCTTACTCAACTGCAGATGAGGTACAGCGGACAATGTGTAACTAAGGAATATGGCGACAATGACTTAGTTCTTATAGTCTTCTAAAACTTGATAGCTTATTTGTGTTGGGCCTGGCAATATTCTGCGCTGTCCAAATGGAACTCCATGTAAGCGAGAAAGGTCTCACCAAAAAGCTGGAAAAAAAAATTCGTTACATTCTGGTATTTTAACTCGAAGACGTTAGGTGGCGTAATAAGTCACATGACAGCCAAATTTGTTTCCCAAAATTTTTGAATCTACGCCAAAAATTAACACGTTTTAATGTAAACACATCGACCAGAACGCACAATAATCACGAGTATACCAAACGTTAACAAAGTCACCTTGAAACATTAGTACAATAACATTAAATTAACAGCTTTTTAATATTGTAGGTAATTACTTTAGTAATATGCCCATAGATGAGATAAGTCTCAATGACAAAATTGCGTGCAGGTTATTCGTGCAAGTGCAATCGTTATGGAAATTAAAAATAGGACAATGTAATTAAAATCTGATCTTACTGGTACATTTACACCTATTCGGTAAGAGTAAGTAGCTTATTTGATTCAGTTTGCAGTACACACAATGATAACACGCTGTCATCAACAAGTTACTTATCAATTAAAGATAGAAAATATCCCCCCATAAGTACTCCCACAATGTACTCCCTCTGTACTTAGCATTGCCAAAATTGTATAAGTTGACGTGACGTGAACGTGCCCACGCCTTATTTTCAAACAAAGAATGTAAATATTATCTATTCGAGACAATCATGGGAACAATTTTGGGTAATTATCAATGAAGATAATACTGCATTTATTAGCGAAAATAGTAAAAATATCCCTAAAATGACTTTTTCTTATATGACGACTGAGAATGATGGGTATCCAGAGCCAAACACGTACACAAACAAACCACTAAATTTTAATAGACGAGGTTAAGCCCTTCCAAAAAGTATACAGTTCTAGTTGTTGCCATGGTGCCTTTCACGCGTCGTCAATTTGTTCTTTATACGCAATTTCGATCTCAAAAAGTTTGCAGTTGGTAACAATTTCAGATTCGTCCAAGAGAACGCGTTTGATAGTTTTCAAATGAGGTCTTCGCGTGTTTCAACCCTTTTTATGGTGGAGACTTCCACAGAAAAGGCCACCGACGGTAGAAAAGATGACGAATGTGAAAAATATTTCGTTGTGTGTGGTTCTCGAGGTAATGCACGGAGGGGCTTTTTGAACCCCTTTAGACGGCAGCATTTTTGTTTCGTATTCTCGAAATATTACTCCCCCACGTAAGTTTCGTAGTGATAAGCAGAGAAAATCCGGTGTTTTCGGAAAATTAATAAATGTTTCGGTCCAAAAATCCTTTTTTTTTCAAATTTTCAAAAACGAGTTGGTAAGAACAATATGCAAATTGTGAAGAAAAAAAAATGAGAGGAAAATATATTTCTTTTTTGTTGTATAAAGTTTCCACATGATACAGTTGCCCATTTATGTGATGCTCTTCTAGGTTCTATTAGAAACCTTATTTTGTTGATATAATGAAAATGGAAACGTAAACCAGTACAAAAATATGTCGTAAATGATTTGAGTGATTAATCATCAAGTATACGTACATCTGTCTGTGGTCCTGTTTTAGGATTTACTTTTCAATTATTACACCCTCCCTAATTATATGGGTGAGAGATAACCAATATTGCATATATTTTGTGAAATTTCCCGACGTCTGTCCGTCTATTCACCAAACTTCCAAAACCACGCACCAGCCTGGGGCAGACTGAATCAAAAAAGAACAATCGTGTTTTTAATAACACGTCCCGATCTTATTTGTTTCTTTATTTACAAAAATCAGAGTTTCATATTAACAAATTCCTTTTCTCTTTGTATCTTCTTCATAGCCCACGTTCCGACTCCACCGATGGATACAACTCGTCCAAACCTTACCACGTTCTCTTTGAAAATACAACGTTTCCATACTTTGTTTTTGAGATACTATCACGCACTCTTTTGCCTTTTATCATCCGTCCCCATTTGGTGATACTATTAAAGTCTAAAGGTACAGGTCAGTCAATTCTACCTGTCAAAACGCCTCTTAATCCACACCTACAGGTCCATCGTCCATCTCAGTTGCTTAAAAATGTTTCAAAATGGAGGAATCTACCGTGGACAAGGTCTACAAGTGGAAGAGTGGGGTGCGGCAAGTGCCTAGACATAGTATGGGCGGGTGCACTTGCGACCTGTCGACTTTCACGGCCAGCGTCAGGTCGCTTGACAGTTACGAAAACTGTTTTTGGTCATCCATATTCCCAGGTCGATTTAACAAGTCACCTGCGACAAGTAGCATTGGAAAAAATTAGTTACCCCTGCCAAACTCGGAAAAAAGCACCCGCAACTAAACATGTTGGCTCCACACACACACAATCAATTTTCTGACATATGTTAACATATTGCTTTTTTAAGAAGCATCATCCGTTAAAAAGTCCGCGCATTTTTGCAAATTTATTTGCAAATAGGTAGCTTTTAATCTCACTTTGGGCGGCGGGCTGGGTGGCAGCAAATCACAGCCCATAAAAGATAACTTGTCACTCGTGACCGTGTAATTAACAACTTTAGGGACGAGGTTACACGATGTGGGGTCGGCGACATCTGGGCGCCATCCCCGAGCCTGGTTTACTAACGGTTTTTTCCTATCTTTTACAGTGTTGGTCTGCTTGTTTTTAAAGTCGTCGGAAAAGTCTTGTAAACGCGCACAATTCCCGCGTGGCATTTTTTTCTATGGGCGAAATTAACCATCTTTGGTAAAGCGTGCGTCTTCGAGAGGTAGTCGACTCAGGGCGTCCAAAAGTTCCCTTCCGCTGCGAATTTTGTCACGCGGTTTAAAATTTCTTAAACTTCAAATCGCAGTCTCTCTTTCTGGTGTCACCAATAGAATCTCGAGCTGTGAGAAGTGCCCCAAAATGGCGCATTTATATGGCTGTGGGGGCACATGAAGCGTTTGTTTGCCATTTATAAGCAGCACCTTCTATTAAAATTTCGGAAAAATGCGACCGCAGGTCAAAAATGAGCACTGCGCATGCGGAATTCATTTTTTGACACATTTTCCATTCGAGGCATCTTGTGCTGAAATTTCAGAGGAATTGGTTCACAAAATAAAATGTAAGACTGCGCATGCGCAATAATTTTTTCGTGTTTTTTCGTCTGCGTACCTATATACAATCTACCTTTTATATTCATTTAAATCCGTCCTTCCATAAAATAGAAAGTTCAGTTTGGGCACGTGCAATCCATTTTTAGCGCATTTTTGCAAAAAATTTTTTTTGTAAAAAGTAGCTTTTAATCTCACTTTGGCTGGCTGGCTGGCTGGCTGGCTGGCTGGCTGGCTGGCTGGTCGGCTGGCTGGCTGGCTGGCTGGCAGTAAATGCGCGCCCGTAGAAAAACGCTTGTAAAAAGACAAGGAGTGTACATGTAACTATCGGGGCCGTGTAATTAAGAACGTTAGGGATGGGGCTACAAGATTTGGAGTCGACGACATCTGGACGCCATCCCCGAGCGTATTATACTAACCTGGAGATTTTTCAGTTTTTATCTATCTTCTTCTACAGTTTTTCTCCGATTGTTTTCAAATTGGTGTCGTCGGGAAGATCTTGTCAACGCGCACAACTCCTGCGTGGCGGAATTTTGTTTTTTTTTCCTAGGGGCGAAATAAACCACCTTTTGCGCGGCGCGCTTCGAGGGGTAGTCGACTTTGGGCGCCCAAAAGTTTCTTACAGCGCGAATCGCGGTCTCTCTTTCTCGTGTCACTAATAGAAGGTCGAGCTATGTGAAGTACCCAAAAGTTGAATACGATTTTATGCCGGGATTTTAGCGAAATCTACCAAAATGTGAATTACGAATGAACGGGACGTCGGAACTGTGTATCGACAAAGGGAATGTGGTAACCCCCGACGAGATCTTACTGATGGTGGAGTCGAAACTTCAAATCCGAATTGTTGCGGGTGATCAGAAGTGGGTGTCGACAAAGGGAATATGGTAACCCCCAAAGGATTTTACTGATGGTGGAGTCAAAACTTCAAACGCGAATTGCGAGTGCACGGTAAGTGAGAAAATGGTACCGACAAAGTGAACGTGGTAGCTTTCGGCAAGATCTTATTGATGGTGGAGTCAATATTGGCTAATAAAACACTGATCTGCCACACAAAAATGCGCTGAAGTCCCTTCGATCTCACACGAGGACTTTGATCATTTTTTAAAGAATGGCCAACCACGGATGCGAACAGCGCTAATTTTCTATTTCTCCATAAATGCATTTAAAAGCTTCCTAACTCATATTGGGATTTAGCTCGATATCGAGTTGAGTTTCTGCGTTCCAAAATGATCGCTGACCCTGAGCAAACTTAATTTTTGAGTTATGGCTAATCAAGAAACCAAATGAAACTAACGTATTCCATTTATAAACACAAATAGCAAGAAAGGTAGGTCAATAGCTCTTAAGATAACAATCTGATAGTGACCGCCGTTTTCAAGTTCATTCTTTTTGCATTCGGTAGATTATAGCTCTGGCACCCGAGTCAAAAAGATGTTGACGATAAATGTGCGCATGTGCAGACTGTGCAACATCCATTTTCTTATTTATTAATATATTTTGATGAAATGTTAACCACACATGCTTCTAGTAAAGGCAAACATATCGCATATTGTAAAAATCATACTACTTCATTTACAGTTTGAATTAATGAGATTACATTGTTTAGTTATTTGTGCATCCTAAAGTAGTTTTCTTGAAGTTAACGTCATGATTTGTACAGACGATCCGTGGTCGATCAAAGTTTTGTTTTTGCTAGTCTAAAATCATTTGAATTATTGATTCCTTTTGGGTATTAATTACGGTATGAGTGTCAGACGTTAGACATTGTTATACCGCAATATGTTTGTGTTGTTATCTGATAAGGCAGAACGCGCCCTTCTGAGCTCAAAAGGTTGCGACCTGAATTTCAAGGGTAATTTTTTCGATACAATCAAATTTTAATTACCGCATTTGTTTGATAGTCATTTAACAATTATAGCTCCGTTGTGTCGATTCCCCTTTTTGCCGAAAATTGATTTAAATTTAAATGTTAACATTTCAGATCTAGATATTATACAGTGTCCTATTTGTAATATTTTGAGATCATTTATTAACTTAGCCTCGATCGTGACATCATTTCTTGTTTAGATTCTACCCTGTCCATTATTTTATTTCTTTAGCTTATCAAGACCAAAACAAGGATCTCTCTTAGTCTGCCTTGTTCCACTCCTTTGGGTCAATAAAAAGTTAGGAAGAATTGCATACGATTTTCAGTAGGAACATTTTTGCTACTCGGCTCACATTCGGAATCCAGACTTTTAATTCGGCTCATGTTCAATAGCACTGATACTTCAATTCGTAGAAATCGATTGGCGAAGGTTTAACATCGTTGCCTCATTTCGGTCTCCAGTTAGACGAGGAACAGACGGATAAAACCATCACATAAAGGAAATTTTTTTCTTTTGAAAAATTCCCCTAAAAATCAAGGCAATGACCTTTTCAAATAAAGCAACAAAAAATTAACTCGTTTACAACTCCCCTAAGCGACGTGTGAAAAACATTCTGATCCTGACGGAATTTAATACAATAGTACAATAATACAATGAAAATCAAAATTAGTTTTAGAAAATTCTAAGCGTCTTCAAAAAAAAAACAAAAATCTGAAAGTTGAATATCCCAAAAAGCGCAAGATACAACCCTCTATGTTGAAATTCATTGAATTTTTTAGCGTGAATAAGTCCTCACATTTCTGTTAATTGTCTAATTTTTGAATTTTCCAAATTTCTCATTTTTTTAATTTTCTGAATGGATTAAAAAATTCGAAATTGATTTAAATGTTTAGATACGAGAAGTTTAGGAAATTCAGTATGTTATCAAGTGGGGGGGTGGGGGGGGGGGGGGGTGAGAATTGAAGGATAACTTTTTTGAGTAACGGAAAAGTGTGCTTTGCTGCAGAAATGTATAGCGACTAGAAAATTCCTTCCTTAGAACAAGGCCTTAAGATTATACTAAACAAAAATACATTATAAGGGAATCGGCGGGCGAACGTACTAGTAAAAGCGGTCACAATTGCGTTTATTTTTGGACATTTGTTAACGAACTTTACTTACACCGTTAAACTAAATCTTCCAAAATTGGAAACTGCATCCTCGTTTTATTACATCGTAGGTGTACCTAGTTTTATTCACTGCCTTGTTTTCTTACCATAACTTGGTACACAGCCACTTATGATTTTCATCTCTTGAACTGAAAGTTCGACAAAAAAAATTGGTCTAAATATACTAAGCCCTAACAAATAACCGATTGGCCAACCCCAAGGAACGCTTGGACGTAGTTACTTTGGCAAACTAAGGCCAAAAAAATGACGAACTAATATAACCACGTTGACATGTGACAAAGATTATTTCGAAATGAGTTCTCGATGGAGAAAATACAGGTCCCTCAACTGCCACGGCCACAGGAGCCAAGAGTGCGAATATGCAACACCATCGCATTTAGTAAAACAAAATTAGTAAAGCTCAAATGGATAATCGTGCTGAACAGCTGGACTTGGTCCAAAATTAATTCTAATCAAAACAATGCAAAAAACAGTAGCGGTGTATTTCGATAAATGTTGATATAAAAACATGTTACAGTCTCGCACGTGCTCATTGTACCACCTTCAGATTAAAATAGTGGCAAAATTGATCCAACGATCGCACGATCACAAACCAATAATTGTCTGTCCAATTTGGTACAAAGATTGTTGTATGTTATCAGCAGGGCGCAGAGATTTTGACAAGGCGCAGAGATTTTGACAAAGCGCCGGTTTTGTGAGAAACACTTCCAAACGCATCATGATTTTCAATTTCGTTTGACCTCGCCTTAATTAGTATTGAAAAAATCGAGTTTCATTGATGTACAAATCAAACATTTAGTAGTGAGTGATTTAAGATTTCTTGCGGAGTAAATGTGGTGTTCAAGTTTGAGAAAATATAGCCGTGCTCTTAAAAAGTCTTGCCTCTGAAAGCGAATGAAAAACCGTTATCCGAGATCGGCCAGATCAGATTTTCTGATGATATTGATCAGTACTTCGCGAAAGGGAAATCCTACAAAGGAAAATAAGTTATGGCATAAATATTCTTAAAAATAAGTAGTAAATATAAACGAATAGAAGAACCGAGACCCAAAAAAATTTTTTTTTCTCTTTTGAAGGAATTTAGGCGTTACTCCATTGATTTTGGCAGTATGTAAGAAGTATAGATGTTGTTCGTTTTTATGACGTTTTATTAATGTAAATTTCAGCTGGTGGAATTTTTCGAGATGCCTTTTTATAACTTTGTTGACGAAGAGCTCCATTATATGTTTTACCAAACTGGAATTTTTCACCCACATAAAACGGTAAAATCAAAATTTGAAAATACATGCTCACGGGGAAAAATTAAAAGATTGTGAATTTCAAAATGATCCTATATTTTCTTTGATATAGAGATACTTTCTCTGTAATGATTTTTGAATAATCTGCCGTTTCAGAATATGTATAAGGAGTCAGCTAAAGAAGTTATCGGACCTTACCTCATTTTCTTTAAATAGAACAACCTGTACATTTTAATCTAAAAAGATAGCATATTAAATTCCCCATTCAAAACTATCGTACACTGGAAAAGATATTTATAAAAATTCAAAAATATGAAACACAAATTTCAAAAATATTTTTAGACCTTACAATTTTTTAAAGAATATTGAACCAATATTGAATTTTTTTGAATTTTTTGTGTTATATTTTTGAAAAGAAAATTAATATACTTTTTAGAATAAAATATACAGATTGCTTCATTTAAAAAAATGAGGTTAGAACCGATAACTTTTTACCTGACCACGTATAGTTACTCGTATTTTGAAAACATTCTGAAATTGACCATTTTTTTATTATTCTTAAGTGAGCAAAGATATTCAAATTTTGATTTTACCATTTTACGTTTGATCCTGATTTTACCATTTTACGTTTGATCCTGATTTTACCATTTTACGTTTGATCCTGATTTTACCATTTTACGTTTGATCCAAGATCATGTATTACTTTTTTGGTAGCACTATCAATTACCCTATAAGTGTCGAAAATGGGAACAATTTTTTACGGAATGGACATCCCTCAATTAAAGACGAGTTTTTTTAAAAACGCGCGGACACATCCATTGTAAGTATCGAAGCGGGCATGTTTTACGATATGTCACTAAATTCTTTATCTCTTAGCGCAATAAGCACAGAATTGGTTAATTTCATTTGAATTGGTGTCTTAGTGTTATTTTTCCTTTTAGAATTACATATTTAGATTTGTTTATGTAATTGTAAAACGTGAAATTGCGTGTTAAGATGTAGGCACATCTGGTCGTTTACGATAAGAGATGTGGTTATCGGACAAAATTTAATTAACGCACGTGTTTTTTATGTCTGTTAGAAGAGATAACGGATTATACAGGTGTTCAACGATGTGCGCGTTATTTTGCGGCAGTAAGTGGGGGCGCGTCCCATCACATCTGGCGTTATCAAGGCTAATATTATTATGATTGGCGCTTTATTTGTAAAAACCGGAAGAAAATTTATTTTATTATGGAAGTGGTGCTCTGCCACAGATGAAAAATTCCAACCTCAGCTCAGGTTCGAACACCCAACTTCCGGTTTTGTAGCCCAACGCTCTACCACTGAGCTATACAGCCGATACTGAGCTACTAAGCCGAAAAATTAAAAAGTTCAAATTAATTATAAGCATACAAACAATTTCAAAACAATTTTTCAATTTTTTTTAATTTTTTTTGGGCCAATATTAATTTTTTTCAATTTTTTCCTTGGTTCCCGTTTTTCCTTCGCTGATGAAACCAAAAAATTAAAACTGTTACTACACATATCGGATCTAATTAACCATTACTTATGATCGAAAGTTAACTACATATTTTGAAATACAAAGATAAATCTTTATCTAGGGATTTATTGCGGAAGTGCAATCTTGACGCTAATCGGCACTCAATCTTTCCTTCAAGAAAATGAAACTAAAAATGTTTTTATTTTTTTTTTGTTTTTAGTTTTAAGTGAGTGGGGTTTCAGCCGAAGCTGCTCTATTACATTAACAAATATACATCTCCGAACCCAGATTCGAACCAATATATTGCGAGGATGCTAGTTTGACGCTAAACGTGTTGTGTCAAAGTTGGAGTAAATTCTTGCCTCACATTTTTGATCTAATTTGCATTACGTATGGTAAAAAATAAACAATTTTGGAAAACAAACGACAATAAAACGAGATTGATTGCAAGTCAGCATTCAACCCTTGCTTCAAAAAGCTATAATTAAAATTGTTTCAACGTTGGGGGTGTGTTTTCCAGCATTTACTTCGTTGATGAATCCAAAAACTGAAAACTTTGGCTTCACATGATAGTAATAACTAATAAAGTACTTATGGTCAAAAGTAAAACAAAATTTTGGAATGCTCGAGCTTAACCGTCGTCAGTATACAACCTTCTCTTCAAAACGGGTAAAGCTAAAAAAGCTGTGTCAAAATTGGGGGTGTGTTTTCCGGTTGATGAAACAATTTTTGATTCACATTTCTGATCTAATTAAGCATCACTTATGGTGAAAAATAAACAATTTTGGAATACTCGATGTATTGCGAGGGTGGTACCTTGACCGTCGTCAGCATTTGACCTTCCCTTTAAAAAAAAATTAAGTCGGGGGTGTTCCGTTGTTATGAAACCTTCACTATTCTAGTCAAATGAAATTTTACTAAAAGTGAATAATTTTGGAACAGAAAACTAAAGAATTTACTGTGAAAATGCCAGTCGAACTAAACATGTTGTACCATACTTGGGTGTGTCTTTTTCGGCATTAAATTCACCGATAGTTAAAATACATTGGTTTTCGATAGTGGCAATACAACAAAAATGACAGTATCCTCCTTTTCGAGGGAAGCAAATACATAACAATTTGTATGAATAATGCAACATAAATGGGGCACAACGGAAAACAACCAAGAAGGTACATACCTACTTTTATCTTGTTGACTTTTTCCGCCTGAGTTGAAATATTTCCGTTGAGTAAGAGAGAGATGAGAGCGAGATGTTTAAATAATACTGATTTTCTTTGTTTTGCAGTTTTTCAAAAACACTACCTTCACATGTTGACAAATCGTTTCGAGCACTTTCAAAGACGGGTCAACTAATGGCACCGGGGCCTAAACGACTGTCGTCTATCCACTCTTGCCCGATAATATACTAATTGAAATTATCTAATCTCGTAATAAACGGTGAGAAAAGTGACTAATGTTGCAGAGTCCTTCAATCTCTTCGAACTGAATATTGCACCCATTTTTTGTTCACAAGGGCATAGCAAAAAATCATACATGGAGGGGAAACTTGAAGGTGGGATGATCGACAAAAATAAATCAATATGACTAACTCATTATCAGCACTTACTTTGAGAACAATAGTGCTTACTGAGGGCATATTTCTACAATAAAACGACTATGGAAAAAGGGCCACTTTGTCAGACGAAAATTATTTTTCCCTCTGAAAGGACTATGATGTCACTTGTCAGTTGAACTGAAACCATGGTCCAAAGTAAATCCAAATTTAACCAAGACTAAACCGGTAAGATAGTGCTGTTTATAGAGTAATTGATTAAATGTCATGGGGTCATCAGCAGTGCCCACAAAAATCTGGCCCAACAAAACGTAGGTCGACAATTTTTTAAATCCTTTAATCGAGCACGTAATAATCCCAGATGGGCTAAATCAGATTACGTTTCGATAAATGAATTACCGTTAAGTGATACTAAACTGCAATTGCATCAATTGAATTTCTTAACCTATGTCAATGCTGATTTGATTTGGTCAAAACGCTTCTCTCTCCTTGGAGTACGTAGTAGGAATTTCTCCAACTGAATTTTACACTGCATAATATCACTGCAACTGCCTTGTCCATTTATCCTTTCTAATAATTTTCTTCAATTATATACATCAAACTTTATATTTACAAAAAAAAATGAAGTTGCGTAACCTACCAAGTAATCGATTAAACAAATACGTAAATATCTCTGTGTTCGGTTTTCCTTTGTTTACCAGTCACGTTGCCCATCAAGTCAATAATTTCGAATTTTATCTTAACAGAACATTTTATTGCAAGCACGTGTAGAATTGTGCACGGTATCTTTTATGTAGGTAATGGGTAACACGCCCTTGAGAACGTATAAATACACATCTTGGTTCTTCCTGAGCCAAATCCAGGAAAGTACATTTGGTGACTTTTTTAGAAGCATTTCAAACAATAAAACACAAAAGCTATCATCACGCGAAAACCTGAGGTCACTGAGGTACTGTCGTGGTTTAGATTTTAACGAAACATTGGGTCGGTTTCTATTTTCTACGCCGTTCAAGCTATAAGTGATACAATGAAAATCAGGAGATCCGCCGACGTAAGAGATATCGTGGCGCCTAGGTCAAAAATGTTAACCTTTACGTATTGGTTGTTTACTTATCAGTTCCAAATATAAACCTTTTTGTGAATCCCTACAAGCTTAAATGGCGCGACCTCATTAATTCTAGAATTCTACAAACCGCAAAAGTGCGCTTAATTACCAACCGAATGAGGAAGTGTCCATTGTGTCCGTATCGTAATTCGTAATTAACCTTACAATTGCTATTAATGCGCGCCTAAATATTTTGAATTAAAGTTCCGTTGAATGGTGTATTGTGGTACCAAAATTGGAAATTTTGACATTCCGATAAAGGGAAGTTGATCACTCAGTTGTCGAGATAATGAAAATCAAAATTTCTTCTAGGACAGTTAAACAATGCGTTTGGAAGTTTAAGCCATTAAATTGTAAAGTAACAAAAAAATCACTGAAAAGAGTATGTACATTAAAAATTCCCGTGGTTTTTAAAACAAGATTTCTCAAAGGCGGTACGAAGTTCCCGGGGTCTGCTACTTTTTTTATAAGATTTTACACACAACTCAAAACGTAATAAAATAAAAATTCTACAAGGGAGTTCGCCGGATGTGCGAGGTGAGGCGGCCCAGCCGTCGAAACCGAGCGTATGTCCCATATACAGACATTTTTGTGCTCCTGCGAAACGAGTCGACCGATTTTTATGAATTTTTTGTATACCTATTTGCTCACTGGGCATGCGAGGTGTGGCGGTGCAGCGGCCGAAACGGAGCGTACGTCCCATGCAAGAAATCATTGACTGATAGAGGGTTTGAAGCTCGCCGGATGTGTGAGAGGGAAATGTTGGTAGTCGAAATCTCCGAAACGGCTTGACCGATTTTTGTATATTTGCTAAGTATGAAAATAGGTTGTAAAGTTGTAACGTTGTTTTCTTACCGATTGATATTTCTGAATGATATGCCGCTTAAGTAACTATTTCATTTGTGCTCTTATTTAAATTCTGCGCCATCTAGGTATTTTCTTTCTAATCCACTAGTTTAGATATAGTACAGTTCTTTTACCTAGTTCTATGTTTTGCCGTTAGAGGTCATCCTTATGTTATAGGTTTCTTTTACAATACTTCTTTGTCTTATTGCTGGAGTTCACGCTTTGTACCTTTCTGCACTTAATTTTATCGCTTCTTACATTTTATCTTTCCAACAAGTCGTCTTTCTTTGCCCCTCAGTGAAGTTTCTGCCGTCACATTTGTTACATGCAAATTTTTCTCTCGTCAATAAAGTTGGTACCCCCACTTGTACCGAATGTGCAATTAATTTGGTTCGAATTTGTACTCGCCCGCGTAGTATGGTCCGTAAACCGATTTTAAAGTGGGAGTGCTCACTTCACCATTCCTAATTAACCTTTTGACAAATGAACTTAATAGTTTGAATTAACGACTAATTTATACCCAAGTTAGCTTCGTGATTGTTTAAACAATTTATTAATTACTAAACAAATTATTAGTAAATAATTCAGATTATAGATATGTATCTCCAGATATAAATTTAAGACTAATTTGTAATACCTACAGCTCCAGGATTGGCGCGACTTAATTCATATGTATTAAGTTAGTGATTTAATTCACCAATTAATTCAAAAAAAGTCTAAGAATTATTTTTTCGCGACTTTTTCCAACCCTGACCCTGACCTAGACCAATCAGGTGTTGGGTTTAAAAAAAAATGCACGCACATGTCTATCAAATATTTCTTGCGCATTTTTGCCCTAAATAGAAAATATAAGGTGCGTCAAAAAGTAGATTTTGATACCAAGGTTGATTTTTTTTAATGGAACAGTATTTTTTTAATCCATTTTCGAATTATTTTTATTATGCCTAGAATTTGACACAGAATTCGAAAGTCGATTTTTTAAAAATACCGTTCCATTAAAAAATCAACTTTGGTATCAAAATCTACTTTTTGACGCACTCCGTATATTTTCTCTTTAGTGCAAAAAATACGCCAGAAAAAATTGATAGACGTGTGCGAGCATTATTTTAAACCCAACGCAAATTAATTTGTTTCATATTTTAGTCGCTCACTGTATATTACAAAGAAGCCATAGTTACTAAATACACTCACGCAAATGGCCAATCGCTCGAGAAAATACAGTTTTTATCGTTATGCGACTAAAAATTGCAGTTGAATTTTGTTTCAAAAATCAAAAATGGATTAATTATTTTTGTGCTACAAAATGCTTTTTTTTACAAAATCAGAGGAAAATATCTCAAATCCTACGTAAAGCCCTTAATTTCATCCCTCTGTCTGTTCCGGTTAGTGAAAGAACAAAAGTAGATTTTGGGACTTGTGAAAACGAAAATTGGGTACTCAGTGAAACTGAAAAATTTCCAGATTTTCCTCATCTGTGTATAAAGTATGTACTATAAAGAAGGCATACTTACTAAATAAAACAATAGCAAAGTCGTCGCACTCGCGCCAATGGCCGATTTGTATTTTTTATACATGGCGGTGGAGGAAAGTGGCTGCTCGCTCCGAGCATTTAAATACATATGGAGATGCTCGAAATTATCTACAAATATATTACCTATATTACTGTAAGTTCTCTAGCCTTGCACAACGAATTTAAGTTGCATGAACAGAATTTAGCGAGATTTCCACAAAATGAAAAAAAAACCAATATCAAAATTTTAATATTGGTAGTAAAAATGACCTCGTACTAAACTAATACACTTGTAATAAAAGAATGCACAAAAATCCCCCCTCATCAGGTTTACTGAAACAAAAAAAAATTTTAAAAAAACAATCAATAAGATTTTAGTAACTCCCCAATAACACATTTTTGGCCCTCGGTTTAATTGGAAAACTTTCACCACCAGGCGAGGAACTTTTACAAATAAAAAATATACATAAATAATAAATGTACATAAAAAAATTACAATAATTTGCCATGTGTACCAATAAACTTTTATTTGAAACATTTTTCCATACAGAGGGTGTAGCAAGTCAAAAAAAATTAGAACCACAACCACGCATTAACGAGGCGAGGATTAGATTTTGGTTTTCCGATATCCTCTTTGGGTTTTTTTAATTTTCTTAGATTCCCAAAAGCGGGGGTACGAAAAATTACAATTTCGACTGAAGTTTTTTTTTCTTCGGCAACAATAACGAATCTACTTAAATTTTGATTTTTCGGTTTTTCTTTAGAATTATATAATTTTCTTTAATTTTTTTGCTAAAATTTTAATATTATTGCAAAAATCTCTGGAAGTTTAAAAACAATATGCTGGAAATCTCTGATCTTCAAACGCTTAGGTATGTGAGAAGTGTAGACTAGCATGTCTAAATGACCAAATTATGGTTATTCATAACCGCTAGATGGCGCTTTTGTTCCTTCTCATCTTATTTCACAGGGCAGAGAAAATAGCATAGGAGCACTTCATATAAAACAGAGTAAATTTGTTTATAAAATCCCGTTTCTCTATTTTAGTGCCCCCTAGCGCTTATGGTAGGAAAAAGAATTTACAGTTTGATCCCTTTTATAAAAAAACTCTAAAACTTTTTCTCTGTCTGAGAGCTGCGTACATGCTTATGTGACAGTGACAAAATGGATAGAGCAGGTTTTCTATTTCACAAAAAAGATCACACGTGACAAGCGGAATGTGGAAGGTCACGTGTAAAGTAAAGTATAAGCACACGCGAAGGTGACGACTTTATCAGTTGATTAAACCAAGCACGTGCCAATCTCCCGTCAACAGTTCAGATACTTGAAACTTTGCCGCAAGTTGCAG